CCCCCCCCCCCCTTTTCCTCCTACACGTCCCTATCCCTCCCTCCTTCGCACAGTACATACATACATATATACACTCCAGCGATAACAAAGGAAAAGACACATCTAAAGATGCTTCCCCGTAAACCACTAAAATCTCTAGAGGAAATCCAGAGCACTCCCAAATGATTCGCAGTACGGTATGTACTCCTGTCCCTTCCGGAACCATTCATGACGTCCTGTCGTTCCATGACCGCCAACATATCATACATACACATACAAGTGACCATCATGCAAAAAAAAAAATGGGGAAAGTGAGCCACAGGATGGCGGAAGCTAGGAGGTGTGATGGATGATACATAGCAGATGCAGGAGCTTATTCTCGAAATCCCTCTGGAATCTGGAACAGGACGGCCGCCTTTATGGGGGAAAGCAGGTGTACGGTACAATACTATGCTTCGCGCTCTTTTGAAATAGCGACGAATGTTCTACCTCGGTCCTGCAGTACTTCAAGGTGCTAAGTTAGGGTAGGACGTTCTCTTCGGACGATGCGGGACTGCTCTGTATCCCATCGTTCAAGGACAGCACTCTGGAACCCGGAATGCAGGAAATTGGAGAATCTTGTTACGATGAGACGTTGGAGACGACTCTCCTAGTAAAGTCCAGCGGCATTTTTCCCCCTGATCGTCACAACTGAAGGCTGAAATATAATGCTTTTCGCTATGTTTCCTCGCCTCGAGCCAAAGGGGGAACTTTTGAATGTTCCATGCCCCACCCTCAATCAGTTTTAAGTACCCGTAGGAGATCGAAGTAATAAACCCCGCACCGGTATCCAAAAGCCCCAACTATCAAAAGCGAGCGAGCGGCCCCACTACAAACATCCACAGGCATTCCCATCAGAAGAGAAAAAAGAGGACGAACAAAAAAAAAAGTAAAAAGTGAAATACAACCCAACGTGGGGGTCGAACCCACAGCCTTCAGATCGCTATATCCAAACCAGTGAAGTTAGAAGTCTGACGCGCTACCATTGCGCCAGTCGGGTGTCTCATGCAACGAATGCCAAACAAAACTATAATACATGTACCCATGCTGCAGGGTGGACTGGTGAAAAAAACAAGTATCGTACTTTTGCTTCAAGAAGTCATTCTTCTCACTCGGTATGCAGGTTTGTGCAACGGTTTTCCGGTGAGGGTTAGGCCTACTGTATCTCAGAGAGTAATTAGGAAACGGGGTATGATATTTCTTCCGCTGAAAGATCCCGAGACAGGCAGAGAATACGATACCAGAGTCCACCGGTGCTGCGAATCCCGCCCTACCGACACTCTGATATCAAATCCCGTGCCCGCACTTCCCTTCCATACACTATCCGAAATCGTCACGATTCACGAGCCACTAAAAGCAATAAATTATCGTCATTCCCAACATACGTCGCCTTTCTTACTTGAACCCACACTGTCATTGTTGCGGCTGGTATCTCGCATCGGCAGCAGGTACTAGTACATTACAGCATCATAAATCCGTGCCGAGGGAAATCATTAACTGAGTGGCGTACCATGATCCCACAAAACTAAGCATATTTCGCAAACAAATTCCTACCGCCGTCTATCACCAAACGGGTAAAGAGAAAGACTATAAAGGACCACAAATGAAACGAGAATATAAGCAAAGAGAATTAATTTTAGTTCCATAACCCCCGTATACTCCCGCCAACATACTTCTCAAACGTCTGCGCTTCCGGATTAGTAGATTATCCAACGACACGTGGAACGGCTTCTCTGAGCATACCTTTCATGATGCCAGTACCAACTTCCTTCGCTTCGCCGAGAATCCACTCGCTAGCTGCTTCTGTTGCCTCTAGGCCTGCCTTGCCGGGGTGCTCCAACTTCTCCGCATGTCCTTGCTCCTTTCCAAAGCCTGCCCGCGCGTTAAACATTAATTGGAGGGCAACAGCGAATACAACTACGCCAATAAGTGAGATCAGCACCAGGAAGGCGGTCAGTTTCATGGAGGTCTGTCGGAGTTGCCATTTGCCCTCGGTTTCGAATACCGGTATAGAAAATACGACAACACTATTGTCCATCGATGTAGTTGCCAGTTTGACAGTAGCGCCGAAGGGTGGGAGAGGCGAAAAGGCGAGTTTGGTGATTTGAAAGGAGTGTACGTTTTTGAAAGTCTTGACTGTCTTTATTGTCTTGATTGGTCCTTCGACAAGAAATAATTGGACGCTTTGGTCTGCGCCGGCGACGGCTAGAAGTGTGCTAGTTGGCGAGAGCATCAAAGAGTCCATGCTAGTAACCGCCTTTGCCCCACCGTGTGCGTTTCGTTTCGAAATGATCTCTCCCGAAGCATCGATGAGTAGTATGACGGCACCCGAGCGGCCGGAAAGATTGTAAACCGCTACCAGCCTGTCGTTGTTGGAGAACCGAACGGCCCGGAAGCTACCCTTCGGCCTGTCTGAGCTCTTCCATTTCAGGGCGATGGGTTCTAGGCCCTGCTCCTCCTTCTCCGTAGATGCGACGTAGATGTCCCCCAGCGAGCAATATGCCACTCGTTTCCCGTCCCTTGATATATCCACGTCCCCAACCTCCTCCTTCCCAGGCAACCGTATCCGTCGCCTCACATTCAAGCAGGAAACATCTATAACTACAACCTCCGCCGCTAAAGCCGGCGCCAGCCCACTCGCGCTCGCGATAACCGCTATCTTTCCCTCCCCGTCGACACGGACTAGTCGCTGATATGTCTCCGCATCCACCTGACTGAACAATGCATGCTTGGAAACAAGACTGATCTCACCTTCCCTCGGAACGTCAAAGACCCGGAAGTGTTCATTCGACTTTGCTTTTTGAGAAGAGTTGATTCCAACGAGCGCCCTGACTCCCGACGAGGTGTTCAGAGCTGAGAGCGACATCACTGCGTCTTCATCCTTACTGAGTTCGACTTCCGATGTCACCGCCAAAGATTTTCCCGGCTTCGTCGAAGTATCTATCATCGTCTGTATCTAGTTAGCTCCGCTCCCAAGAGGTCAACTTGTCGGAAGCGAGAAGAGAACCAACAATTTTGTTACCAACACCGCTACGCCCTTCACCTCCGCCGCCAGCAACAAGCAAGCGGTCAGCATCGATAAAGGATGCGCTGTACGGCGGGTATGAAAGTTTGAGCTTCTCCGAGGTTATTGAAGGTGCCATAATGTATGTCAAAAGCGTTGAGAGTAGGGGGAGCCTTTTTGCGGCAGAAGGTGGACAAGATCAGTTTCCAGGAGAGAGGTGTCAACGTGTTCCTGAGATTGGAGCCTCATGCTTGGCGCGCCAATCGCATTAAATTTTGCTCATGCACATGTAATCATCCGAAAATCACTCGAAAATCGGAATCTTCATATGGTTCAAATCCTAGCATAAACAAGCCTAGAAGTTCTCTTGCTTTGCCTTCGTCGCATTGCCTTCGTCTCCTCCAAACAAGGACGCCCTTGATGTCGTTCTTATGGATGCTTGCGGTATCAGAGCTTAACCGGAGGGCGATAGTCCCTAATCAATACAATGGTGTTCTCCAACCAGGGAGCCTACCCCCGACAGACCCTGTGAGATAGACAATTAAATATCGGGGGGCTGCGTGAATAAAATTTGATGATGATTCCCATACCACCAGTTCCTCCCAATAAATTATAGGTCAACTAATGCACCTAGCGGGCACAATCCCAGCCCACAGTATACCTAGATGAGCCCCAGGACGCGATACGGAGAGCTCATGGCATAACGTTCATTATATCAACCACCCGTCAAGTGGGTTATATGGGACGAGATACGAAATTGCTTCAATTTTTTCCTGTCAATATCCCCCTTTCCTCCCCCCCCCTCCTATGATATCTTAATGGGGGTTTAACATGTGTACTGTACTGTACTGGTCAATTATAGTAGCTGATTAGGAATAAGGTGCTGCAAGGCAAGCTTCTCTCCCCCTATTTTCCTCGCGATTGAAATCACACGCAAAATTTTCAGTCTCGATTGGGAAATCCCCACTCTCACAACACCAAGCTGACATTGTGAAGTAGCTTCTCACATGTCAAGTGGCCAGAACAGGGGTTTGGGGGTACATGACACAGGGATGGAGGTTGATGAGACAACCTCCAACCCTGTGCATGGGCCCTCCTCACCTATGTCACCTTCCCCGAATTCAAATGATCAACTGGCCTTCAACCAGCTGTTCGAAGGAGTCAAATTGGCGTTCAAAACTACCGGATTCCAGCAGGGCTCCCATATTGCCAACAAGCTAAACGATACAAATAAAATCAACTTGGAACACTCAGAGCTGGTTCTCCTCACCATGGTAATGGGACTATACAAGAGGGTTGACAATATGGTGGCCACAATTGAAAATCTCACGAAGGTGGTCCGGCAGAGACCGCAACAGCAGGAGCTCCCAACACTGAAAAAAGAGAGAAAATGGAATGACTCCAAGTGAGGAAGGAGTCCTACACCACAAGTGGAACCAACAACCCCCAGGTGGATTCTAAAGCGGCCCGCAGACGAGGGTCCCACACCTCCACAAAATCTGAAAGAAAAAACAGCCAAAGTAACCTATACCCAAGCAGCACAACACAACACAGCCAACCCAGATAAGGACAGTTGGCAAAAGGTGAAAAGAAAAGAGAAGACAGAGAAGAAGAAAGACTCCAGGGAGATGGCTATAGCCAAATGCCGGTTCTACGCAACCGCAATTAACCCTAACCCTGTAGAAGCCACCGAAGAGTTGGAGATGAAAATCAGTGTAGCGGTAGCCAGGAAACTGAGGGAATGGGGGTTTAAAGGAGCCACTAACCTTCAAGTTCGTATAAACAACTTGAACGGGAATGTTTCGTTCCTGATACCAGTGAACATGGAGGCCACAGCCTACACTCAATACTTTGAAACAATCATGAAGGAAATCAACAAAACCCTTGGAGGAGAAGAAGAGATCTACTCTCTTCTTCGCTCAGCACCCATCATTACCCAGATTGTAGCACATGGTTTTCCGTACTCGATACTCCTAGAGTACCCCCGAGAGATGAAAGAAAAATTGACCAAAGTGGTTAAGGTCGGATACGGCTTCGAACCTTCCAACGTCCGATACTTGAAAAAAGAACAAGATAGAAGAAACAAAAAGGGAGCCTCCCTGATCATCACTGTCCCAGGGGAAAAAGCTAATGATATGACCCCAGAGGTCCTGCTATTTGGAAAGTTTCGAAAGGCAAACATTATGTGGAAGTCAGCCCCAACGATGCAATGCACAAAATGTCAGAGGTACAGACACCCCGAAGAGGGATGTAGAGACCGGTACCACACATGTGCGATATGTTCTGACAAACACAAAATATCAAGTCATCGCTGTTCATCGCTGTTGTGCCCAAAAAAAGGAATGTCAGACCAGTCACCAGGTGTTGCCCGCTGTCGCTGATAAGATACCCTAACTGTGGAGAACGCCATAGGGCAGGAGATGATACCTGCTCAACCAAAATAGCAGCGAAAGAACAAGCCCAAGAGCTCTATCGTGCCCGCAACCCCCTATGTGGACGCACCTGAACACTCCATGACGTAATTATGGCAGAAGGGGAAGAGGAGTGGTGCAGGAATACTGAGGAGTTTTCAGAAGGTTTTAAAATAGTTCAGCATAATTGCTGTGGGAGCAATGTTGTTTTTCTTACTTTGTTTTCATTATTACAAAAAAGTCAGCCTTTGATTGTTTGTTTACAGGATCCATCTTTGTTCAACGGGTACCCTTTAAGGGCCTGGGATATACTTGTATTGTTCCCCCCTACTCTAAGAAGCCGAGAGTATGTACTTATATACAAAGGGCCTTCGCGGAGGTGGTTGCTTATCATGTTTTATTGTTTTCTATGGATTCCCTGCTGGTAGTAAGGTTTGACTCGCATGGACAAGACCTGTTGGAAGGATGGAGAACAATTTTGATATCAAATGTTTATAATACAGTGGGAGACACCGGGTTTGCAGTGTCGCCAGAGTGGATGTTTCATATATTTGAGTTTCCTTCACTGGTATGCGGGGACTTTAA